GCAATGAATGATGAACAATCTCCTTACAGATGAAGAAGAGACTTGAGACAATAGATATGTGGCTCTGCGGAAGGATGCTCGGAACACCACGGACTGAACACATGAGCAACGACGAAGCTTTAAAGAAAACCGAAACAGAAAGAGACAGTTAAAATTTCTCGGGCAGGTAATGAGGAAAGGAGGCATATAAAAATTAACACTCACAGGATATAGAGGAATCAAGAGGAACAGAGGAAAGCAGGGTGTAATCGACCTAACTAGTTCGTATAAATGGTTGGCAAAACATGGATTAGGAGAGATAACAAAAAGATAATCTTTACTAAGAGCTACAAATGACAGGGTAGTGTGGAGAGCCATGATCGCCTACGTCCTGAAGGGACGGCGCATAGCAGAAGAAAAAGAAGAAGAAGGAGAGAGATAGCGACAGAGAAATATATACAGGATGCGGCGGAAATAACTCCCACATAGACATCACACAAATACTTTCCACATACATGGCAAGACATTAGCGAGATGAAAAACACTATTGCCACTAGAGAGGTATTTATGACAGGTATATGTGAGAAGTATTTCTGTTGCAAGAAGACTTAGACACATCGAGAAAGAAAGAGATAAATAGTTGAAGAGACGAAAAGAAAGAAAAGATGTGTGGAAGATGTACAGAAAAAAAAAAACGATGTGAGAGAGAAAGAAAAACAAGAGATAAATGAGAGTGAACAAGAGAGAGATAGAAAACACAAAATCAGACAGATAGATAGATAGGTAGGTAGGTAGATAGATAGATAGATAGATAGATAGATAGATAGATAGAGTTTGTGAATCAGAAGAAACAGCTTTTGTGATGGATAGGTATGGATATAAGTAAAGAGAGTGACAGAGATATACCAAACAAGGGAGAGAGAGAGAGAGACACGCAGAGAGATAGAAGGTAAGAAAAGAGAGGTAAATATGAAGAAAGCGAGAGAAAAGAGAAGGAAAAACGAGAGAAGAAATAAAGAGAGAGTGAAATCGAAAGGAAAAAGACGTAATGAAAAAGAAAATAATATAAAGAAAAACCGAAGGTGGGGAGCGTTAGAGCAAAAGAGAGAGAGAGAGAGAGAGAGAGAGAGAGAGAGAGAGAGAGAGGGGGGGAGGGGAGAGGAGACAGAAGCAAAAGGGGGAGACAAAGAGAAACAAAACAAACTAGAGAAGAAATAGAAAAAAAGGAATAGCATCAAAAGGAAGAAGACATATTGAAAAGAGACAATAATATAAAGCAAAGGCGAAGGCGTGGCGTTAGAGAGAGATAGATAGATAGAAAGAGAGGGTGGAGAGCGCGAAAGAGAGAGAGAGAGATACCAATGTGTAAAGCAAAAGAAAAGACAATGAAAAAAGAGAGTGAAAGAGAAGAGAACGGTTGGAGAAATATAAAGATCGAGGTAAAAAGACATGAGAACCAATAATAAGGCCACCTGTCCGTTGAACCAGTCACTGTTTTAAGTTTCCTAATGTCTTTTTCATTGTGTTCACCTTTGATCAAACTCTCATTACCCGTATAAAATGTGGTCATCAGATCCGACAGCCACAGCCTAGAAGCACGGCTGTTATAACCAGACCCACCCTCTGATCCTCCCCCTCCTTCTTTCTCATAGTTGACTTTAATCCTTCACCTGTGACCCAAGTAATTCGGAATTGGCGGTGGCCCCGTGCATCTGAGCGGAAAATCTTGTTGTCAAATCACCCGCTAAAACAATAATAACTTAGTTTTATTGCTCCCGGGAGTCGATTTTCCTGACCCGTCCTCGATTCTGCAAAATGCACATCCTTTCTCTATCTAGCTGGTTGTTTCTAGAATGGATACCGTGGGCAATTTTCAAGAAATTTTACATGTAGACTTTCAGAGTTAGATCATTTGAAATGGCCAACTGACTGTATAAGTTACATCTATAACAATCAAAATGAGAACAATAGTTCTAAAGAATTAATGTATACTAGCAGCATGGCCCGGCGTTGCCCGTGCTTAATTTAAAAATCGTACGACTTACATACAGCAATCGCTATCACTTGACTTAAAATATTTTTGCCCTTCCTTGCCTTTAAAGGAGTGCCTTTTGCCGTGCTGATGTTGCTACATGCCTTACTTCTTGCCTATCTCACACTGCGAATTTTTTCTAAGCTTTATACTAAACATTAAATCTGTTATGAAAAAAGAACTAAACAAAATGAACACAAAACGATCAACTTTAAAAAAGGACTCGTAACTGGAAAAACCGAATGAAAAAAGAATGTTAACAACAAATACTTTTTCACACCCAACCCAGTTCTGCGGAATCAGAATCAACGTTGAGTTTAAGCAAGCGAATGAGCCAATTGGAGTAAAGTGGCATGTAGATTTAAATTTTTCCCATTTGTGACGAATGCAGCTATCGATTTTTTTTTGGCATGGTAGCATGCTAATTAACATTCATGTCACGCTGGCCAATAGAATCTTCCTGCCTATTCGTGGCAGCCAGCTCTAGGCTCTCACTCTGGCCAGTAGAAAATGGCCGCAAACTACATGAAAACTGGCGTAAAAGCATGAAAAAAATCGATTATTTCCACTATCGATGGGAGTTGGGAAATGCAAAGTCGGTCTTGGCTTTCCCGCTAACTTGGAGCATGTGCATGTAAATTTTGGTGCAAATCCGTCGAAAATTGCGGCCGTGCATTCGTTACACACACACACACACACACACACACACATTCTGCCTTTTATAGATAGAGATATATATGCAGTACTATTCGGCCAGTCATATTTTTGAGCACATTCCAATTGCTTTTATAAAATCTAGTATCCTTGATAGTGTTATTTCCATGAAGAGTTTCTTCAAATTCTTTCGTAATATTGTTTCCGCACTCGATTCAAGTTTGTACACGCAAGCAGTATATGTTTAACTGTGAATCTTTTTGGCATGTTATACATATTGGGGATTCTGTGCCCTCCAGTAAATGATGGTGGGTGATGTGAATCCTGGTAGATTTTCCAAACCGACTTTCCTCATTATGGAAGTTAGACATTACATAAATAGAGAGTAGAACGGGGAGTGAGAGGGGGGATGTTAAAAAGACAAAGGATATGAAAAGGATGGAAACAAAAAGGACAGTGGGAGTTAAAATCAAAAAGAGATAAATGAAATTTCTGCGACACACATTGAGGAAGGAAGTCTTGAAGAATTTTACACTCACAGAAAATATTGAAAACAAGAGAGGCAGAGGAAGGCAATGAGCAACCTTTGGCGATCATGGCTCTCTACAACTTCCTGTTCTTTGCAGTTCTAAGTAAATTTCGACTTTTTACTTTCTCTCCTAAACCCTGTTATGATATTGTTGTGGTACGATCCACCTAATTTACATAGTGGGGTACCGACCATATAAATATGGTTGGTACCGGGAAGACGGGGGGAGGAAGAAGAGATCCAATCCAGAGACTCTGCCCGACTGCGACTAATGTCAACCCATTCTACAGGAACGGTCTTCCCAAGAATATACCAAACTATCTGTAAATATTGTGTACACGTTCTTGTGTCAATACATTTTGCTTAAGTACATTTTGTGTTGTATTATTATTATTCCATGCTTTATTCAAGTTTCAACAGATATCCATACACACAAGCTCGTTCGGTAAATTATGAGCTGTTTTGCCTCTTGTCCCACTTACCTTTGCCATGTCATGTGACTGCCAGATTTTCCAAGCCCACTTTCTTCATTATTAACCTATAGCTGGGAAAAGAGGTGGATTCATATATTTCCCAACGCTATTTGTGCATAAGTGAACATAAACGAACCCGGAATAATGGCCTCGCTCTATAGGTTAAATAAGTCTGGTGATAAGATGCATCCTTGTCTTGCAACCCATTTCAATTTTTGTATATTTATTGAATTCATTTTCTATTCGTATGCCGGAGGTTTTTTCCCTGTATATTTTCTGGATTATTCTAATATCTTTCCCAAATATGTCAAAATTACCTAGCAATTCTAATAGTATCAAACGCTATTGCATAATCTATAAAACATAGGTATATATTCTTTTGCCTTTGTATTTCTCTTTCTGATATCATTCCTTGTTTCAGTGTCTTTTATGCATCTGTACTTTTCTTGTCTAATTTCCAGTCAGTGGACATTCAACATATATCAAAGCAAACAGAATTTCTGTCAATAAAAGTTCACAGTAGCAATCTAGAGCAATAATTATTGAATCAGAAATAATATAAGTGAATACTTATCAGGGGAGGACTCAGCCTTTCTTATAATAATTATATAGAGTTAAGAGATAAAGAAAAGTAAAAAGAAAAATCTATTTGACATCAAGTTTTGTAGATACGTCAATCATCAAAGTCATATAAATCTATTAAATACACTAACAATTTATAGAATTTTACTAAAGACCTAAGTTGTTAAATCTGAAAGGAAAAGAAAAAAAAATCATTAGACGCTTAAAGTTAATTCACATTTAAAATCGGTCCAAGTTATGGGAACACCCTATATTTATTAAATTAATTTTCTATTTGGATGCAGGAGGTTTGCTCCCAGTATATTTTCTGGATTATTCTAATATCCTTCCCAAATATGTCAAAGTTACCTGCCAATTCTAACAGTTCTTGTGACGTACTTTATCAAACGCTATTGCATAATTTATAAAACATAGGTATAAATTCTTCTGCCTTTGCATTTCTCTTTCTGATATCGTAGATATCAAAAATATATCAGAAAGAGAGCGCTATAAGTATTCTTCGTGAACTCTTTTTTTGATTAAAATAGAGATACTTTCGCGTAGATTAGAAGAAATTGGTATCCAGGAGCACCCAACCGCTCTAGAGTTACCCGCTCTATTCTTTTACTATTATGTGCCATGCCACTTCCCGCTTGTGGAACTCTCTTCCGGCTTCTTGCTTTTCTCTCAACTAAATTCTTCAAAAATTTAAATGTAATGCCAATCGTTAACTTCTGTCTTCTTAATTCCCGTTCTTTTATTGTTCATAAGCATACGACCATCTCAGGTGGAAACGCCGGTTCTCGTAAGATCATAGATGTTAAGCAACGTCAAGCCTGGTCAGTATCTATATGGGTGACCGCTTGGGAACACCAGGTGATGTAATGGATAACGGCTCGGAACTGGAAATCGGAGAGTCGTGTTTCAATTCCAGTCGAGCTCCTTATGTTCACATACGCTCAAATATCCTTTGAAATGTATGAATTCACTTCTTCTCCCTCCAGCTATGGGTTAATTAGTAAAACTTATATCAGGAAATCATTATTATCGCTCCCAAATGATTACACTCTAAAAATAATATTTTCTGGTTTTAAATAACCTGAAAAAGATTCAACGAATCAATCAATCAATTTATTGTTCTTTCTCCTTAATGTTTTATTGTTCGCATGTATTCTCACAATCAATAATCCCTTGCGTCTTAGTGGCTTTATTGCCTTTCTTGGGGGTGAAATGATTTCAGAATTTCCCTTCAGAATCTGGGTTATCATAGCCCGCCACAACTTCCTACCTATTGTATTTCTATGTTTATCTTCTTATTATCCCTCCCTGTTCCTATCTTGCTATCCATTTAGGTTAGGTAGCTTGCTCATTGCCTTCCTCTACCTCTCTTGTTTTCAATATGTTCTGTGAGTGTAACATTCTCCAAGCCTTCCTTCCTCAATAGGTGTCATAGAAATTTCAGTTATCTCTTTCTGATTCTAATTACAACTGTCCTTTTTGTTTCCATTTTACTATTTTTAGCATCTATCTTTAGACACCCATTTATATTGCCTCAAGTATATTCTTCATTTGTGAGGAGTTTGTGCAGCATTCTCATTTTCCAGTTTCTTAATACTTTGTTTAACTTTTGGAAGGCATCTTTCGCTATTCCAATGCGCATTCAGATTTCTCTTTCACATTCTCCGTTGTCTGTTATCACACTTCTTCGTTCTGAGTATGACAATGAACTACATCCGGCATCAAGGCCTCTGATGGGGAGATTGAAGTTTTGAGGAGCGTGGAATCACTTCTTAATTGCTGTTGTTCTCAGGTCTACTCTGAGGTAGCAACTGCCAGGGTCCCAGCTATGGACAAATATTTAGCCCCCAAACTAGGGTTAAAATGCTATGAAAGTATAAAAATACATTTTTTAGTGAAAATACCAGTAATCCATTTTCATAGTAAAAATTTACCAGCAACACATTTTTAAATGACCCATAAGGAGTTGATATGCCGCTAAACAAACAAATAACAAACAAACAAATATCATACTTCCCAGATAGTTACATTTCTGTATTTGATTTATTCTGACATCTCCAATTTGTAGCTCACATGTCTCTTTTGCTAACGTCTATACATTTTCTCTTCTTACAATTGATGTTTAGTCCTTTCTTCTAGTTTTCACGAAAGAAAAAAAAAGGTCAATTTAAAATTTAGTAGAATTGAGCTTTAAAAATTCGTATAGATTCAAATAAGTATTATTGGGTGCATTACTTTTACAGTTAGACTTGACTAAGCTTAGTAAATGCCTAACGAAAGACATTTGATAAAGAATTCATCGTTTATTGGATGACCCTTTGTTTCAGAAGAGGCTTACCTTAGCAAATAACTACACTAGGGGTAAATAATGCACCTGGCACAGAGCAGTGGTTAACAAGCTAGTCTACCAGACAATTTCTAGTGAGTTCGTTCTTTACTGGGTGTCCAACAATTGCAGCCTTATGCCAGATTTATTAAATATCTAAGGGAGCTTATTTTTAAATCTATCGGTAGCCATCTTGAAGACTGTTCATTGTGAGTCTGTCTATATTTCTGCCTTAAGAGTGTGAGTTCAATACCCGGTTAAGGCAGTGAAGAACTTTCAGAGGGAAAATTAACAGGAGATAACTGATAACTGACATCCATCAAACATGGCACGTGGAACTAGAACAGACTACCCCAGTGAGCGAAATAAAGGGTTCAGTGCGACATTCCAAACACCTGAAGAAGGCCGGAGCGTACAACGGCCGAAACGTTGTGATAAATATGTCGGCAAAGATGAGGATAATAGTCCGAATAATGTAAATAATGTATTCATTGTGAGTTCGAACATAAATGGCTGTCCTATTTTGAAGTCAAGACTCACATGGTGCCTCACCATTGGAACCTTGAACCAGGCTTAGTTAAGTAAATATCGACTAACGCTAAATGATAAGGAGTTCGTTTTTCACTGGGTGTCGCACTATTGTAGCTTTGAGACAGACTTCGCTATGTTAATGGCGCCAAATGCGGGTCATTGATAAGGAGGTCCTTCTTATTCTAGCCTTGTGCTAGATTTAGCAAACGTCACGGTAGCTTACGAGTCCCTTAACCTATAGTAGAGAGACCAGCTGTACTGTAGCCGTAGCTGCAATAATCGGACAAAGCGTATCTCTCTTTAATCTAGTTTCGAATTGAGTGTTTTCCTTCTCTTATAGGCTGACGGGCATATCACATTAAATCACCGGTTCTAAAGTTAGGCAACGTCGAACATGGTCACTACCTAGATGAATGACCGTTAGGAAGTACCAGGTGCTGTAAACTTGGATGTGCAGGTGGTGTGGAGGATAACGGCACGGAATTGGAAAATAGACAGTCGAGGTTCAATTCCTGTCGGGTTCGTTTATGTTCACTTACGCACAAACGCCCTTGGGAAAGGTATGACTTCACCAGCTATAGGTTAATTTATAGGCTTAGTATCAAAAATCATTATTATCTCCGAAAATTGTTACTGTCTAAAAATATTTTCTGACTTTAAATCAGACTTTACATCACATTGCAAAAGGTTGATAAGCCGTAAAAAAAAATTAATCCTTCTCCTAGAGAGGTTGCCACCCAAGACAAAAGCCAACCCTTCTATTTTCCTATAGCTGGAGGACGATGAATTCATGGACAAAGTGAACGAAATAAAATGGAGTGGAAATTGAACTCGGTTCGTTAGTTTCACTTTCCGCGCAGGTAATCGTTGTACTACCTGCTGATAGTTAACAAATACATCGTTTACAATTCTGTATTCCACCATGCCAGCGCGAACCTTTGGATTTAAAATCCTGCCTTTCACTGTGATGTTGCTACAAAATATCGCATGCAAGCAGGTGGCAAAATCAAACGAATAAAAGTTTTGTTCCACGTCTCTACCGAAACCTGTTGCCCGCAAAAAAATATCCTTCATGTTAGCCGCCCATCGCGCGCCGGCTCGTTGTTTGTTTGTGGCCCATGGGTAGAGGAGGTGAAAACAGTTTGGAAGAAAATGGGGATAGATGAAAGAGGCCGACTTGGACAAGGTAATGCAATCTAGAAGATAACATCAGTGCAATAACGACATTGATAAAGTGCATGCATCATTTATACAGACTTGTGACCACTCAACTGAGTATAATTTAAGATCTACTTATCTCATTCTGTTCGTATTTATCCCAATCTATATAGATCTCTCTCTCTCTCTCTCTCTCTCTCACACACATACTTTCTCTTTCATCTTTCTCAGTCTGTTTATATCTATCTATCTATCTATCTATCTATCTATCTATCTATCTATCTATCTATCTCTCGTTATAGTGTCATATTTAATTATATAGGTTTAAGAATATTCGTATCTATATACATATTTCAATTTTCTCGTTAAGCTGTCATTATTTTATGTAAACGCATCAGACTGAAATCTATCTATCTATCTATCTATCTATCTATCTATCTATCTATCTATCTGCATATACATTCCAATTTGTCTATCAATAGCTGTTCGGATCTTTTTTTCCTCATGTTTACAACCATTTGTTTAGGCGTATTTTCTATCTATCTATCTATCTATCTATCTATCTATCTATCTAACTGCATATACATTCCAATTTGTCTATCAATAGCTGTTCGGATCTTTTTTTCCTCATGTTTACAACCATTTGTTTAGGCGTATTTTCTATCTATCTATCTATCTATCTATCTATCTATCTATCTATCTATCTATCTATCTTAGTCTATTCATATCTATCTATCTATCTATCTATCTATCTAGATAGATAGATAGATAGATAGATAGAGAGAGAGAGAGAGAGAGAGAGAGAGAGAGAGAGAGAGAGAGAGATTTGATTGAAACTTAGAAATTCGTTTGCAAAAAACTATTCGAATGATTAAGAAGGCTTTCGGGGATTATTCAATGAACGACACTTCAAAGCTGACCGGGAATCTTTTGAAAGCAAATCCAAGTTCTGGAAGGCCCTTCAACAAAGGACGACCGATCAGGTTGAACGCGTTCTATGTGCAATCAAAGCAAAACGGTGATCGACAGAAGAAGATCTGGGGATTCCACAGACTGTCTGTAAAATATGCATCCACTTTGACTATTTTCACACACCCATTCCCCTCTTTCCATGGCGTGTATTTTGGTAAAACGTCGCATCACTCAGGTGTGTTATCCCCATCCTCACGACAGTCTAGATTAGACTCTCTTTATGAGTTTCCATTTTTTTTTCTTCCCATATCTAAAATCGCCATTGAAAGGTAGTAGATTATCTGATAGCGAATCATAATGAGGATTTTACAAACTGTTCTGAAAAGTAAAAATAACGATGGATTGTGTTCAAGAGGTTTATTTTGAAGGAAACTAAGAAACTACTTGACTTTGGATTCTTTTACCGTAATAGTAACTGACTGAAACATCTACTAACTGATCTTAGATATATAATTGTGTATTTTAGTAGCAATCCCTCTTTTATACAAGTTTCATTAAAAACGACTGACAAGGTACTGTGGTTAAGTTTTTTTATCTAGTTTTTCTTGCGTTCTTATAATATTCTTATCTGGGCATAAATTATATAAATATATGTATGTATGTATATATATATATATATATATATATATATATATATATATATATATATATATATATAGATAACTAGACTCGTTTCGAAAAAAAGTCGAATTTTTGATTTGCTAATCAAATCAATCTCGAGGAAAAAAAAGTTTTAAAAAAAGAAAGCGCTACAAACATGAACTTCTGCCGACAAAAAAAATCGCACAGATGCAGGTCTGAAGCCCAAAGAAAAAACCCCGATACGAGTAACAACTAACTAACAAAAGAGCTCAATACAACCGTAGAGCAGACCTAGATACACCTAGTGAGCCAGACAAACCTTCCTAGGTTTCACCTAAACGGATCGTCAGGGAAAGTTTGGCTCCAAACTTTCCCTGACGATCCGTTTAGGTGAAACCTAGGTAGGTTTGTCTGGCTCACTAGGTGTATCTATATATATATATATATATATATATATATATATATACATATACATTGTGTTTTGCCAAAAACATAAATTAAACAAAAGAACATAACAAAATAAACAGTGTATTTATGGAGGATAATGATTTCAATTCGACAGTCTTTAACCTAACTTGCTTAAAGCCCGCATTTTACTTAAAATTTGTATTTTCTTAATTTCAAGTGAAAACCTGGGAATTTTCCAAAATATATTTGTGAAATTTTTACTTTCCAAAATATTTCAGTGAAATTTTTAGTTTCCAAAATTATAGTTTAAAATTATACTGCAGATATATGGAAAAAAATAAAAAGATGGCGTCAGTTCAAACTGACGTCAGGCTTATATGGGTTAAATAAATTCACTTGATGACTTAGAAAAGAGTTTGAAAGACGTCACTGAGTGGTGATTTATAAACAGCATCCGTAAAACTCAGTGCAAGTTTAAAAAAAAAAATGTTGATGTTGTTTGTTTCTCGTTTCGCCTTTCAGATTGTTATCTTCTTTGATTGAAGAGCACCTTAAAAAAAAAATGAAATAATTCCGACCACCCATTGCGTAATTTCTTTATCTTTTTTTTTTTAACCAGGCGTTCAATCTTTCGGGGAATGTTCGGAAAATAAAAAAAGAGATTTTTTTTTTTCAAAATTAGATGATGCGTGAAACGCTCGAGAAGTTTCTTAATTGGAAAGAGGTAAAAAAAAAGAAGAAAAACAATATAAAAAAAATAAATATTGTATGTCGTATATATTTGTAAATGCTAAGAACGAAAAGCCGCCAAAAAAATAATTTGGTACTAGTGGCAAAACAGAATGTAAATCTGTTGACATAACCCCCCCATTATTTTCTTTGATTTTTCATTTCATATTGTTTGTTTGTTTACTATCTAATAGAAGTAATAGTAAATATTACATGACGTCTGTACTAGGGGTAATTTCACATCAACATCACAAGTTGAATACAAAACAAAAAAAATCAAAAACCTTAGCCTAAAACTCAAGTCATGTTCGGAAATAACCTCATCAATTCGAGACTTTAATATGGATGTAATTCATGGCACCAAACTCGTTCAGAAGTACCTCGACTGTCAGATGTGTACAGCCACTTATTCCGATTGATGGCTAAAAGTGGCTTCGAGCGCGTTAAACATGTAAGTCTAGACGAGGACAACCCTTTTTCGAATCTTGTGGATTGTCACAACAGAATCATAAAGGAATCGATAGTTAAAGATGGATGCGAGCGAATGAAGCCTGTACATCTTAGCAAGGATCAACCTTCAGCGAACCTCGTGGATTCACGTTACAGAATCACAAACAAAAAAACTGTTCTTAATAACAAAAACCACATCACTCGAAGACTCCTAAACGCAGCAACATCTGAAATGGGTGTCACACGTAACTAAAAAAACTAAATAATCACATAATCATGATACTGACATTCCATCCTATTTCAAACAAGAGGTTAGGAAGAAAACGCCAATCAATACTGGAAAGAGCGATTGGACATTAGAAACTTAATTTCCTGAAAAATTACTTTAATAGAAAGATTTTATAAATTTCATCCGAAAGCAGCACTAGCTGCTCGGTAAATAAATTCCTAATGTTTCCTTATAAGGAAACGGCTAATTTTACCATTATAAATATTACCAGTGAAGTTGTTCCCAAAATCATACGAGATGATGAAATACCAGATTTTATTTGTAGTTCTTCTTGGTTGCACCGAGTATCATTTCACCCCAAGCAAGGTAATAAAACCACTAAGAGGTACGTGATATTCTTAAATTATATTAGAGCTTACGGCTATTTCGCGTTGAAACACCAGTTCTCGTCCGATTACCGAAGTTAAGCAACGTCAATCCTGGTCAGTTTGTAAGCTTGAGTGTGCGGGTGCTGTAAGTGATAACGGTTCGGTATCAGAAATTGGAGAACCGAGTTTTTTTGCATGTTAGAGGATATGAGAAAAAAAAAAACACTATTATCAAAATATGGGATACATAATAACAAAAGTGATAGAAACAGGAACAAAAAGAAACTAAATGAAATCGCTTAGACTATATACCGAACACACACATATTAAAAAAAATTACTCGAAAAGTTCAAAATTTCAGCTTTCTCTCCCCTATACAGTAACATCAACGGAAACATCACATAAGTCCGATGCAGTTCAGGAAGACGTAACGCGTCAATTTTTTTCCACTTGGTCATTAACTTTCCTAATATATATATATATATATATATATATATATATATATATATATATATATATATATATATATATAATGAGGTGGCTCAAATAAAAACGGCTCTAATAAAAAAAACTTATTTGGTTAATTGTTTTGGGGATTTTTGATATAGATATACATCTTACTCGAAAATCAGAAAAATACAATAAAAATTAAACATTCAGTCCTTGCCGATTGAATTTAACAAAAATTTAACATATTTATACAGGTGCGGTAGATAAATTGTCGCCATTTCATGTTTTTAATTTCACGCATGCGCGTTGTTTGTTTTTGGTTTTGTCGACTGCACAGTTTAGTAGGGTCAGTTGGGCACCGTCTGTGAGAAAAAGAGCACCATAATGCAATTCACTCCACCAGAAATTTGGAAACGACTTGCTGTCCTGCTTTGCATTCAATATGAACATTTCACAGACTTTGGGTATCAATCTGAGGGCAATGCAGAGTATTCGGAAAGAGTTGGATGAGTCTAATGGTGATTACGAAGGTACGGCAGCTCGGAAAACTCACTAACTGATAAGAAAAGAACTCCCGAATTTTTTGGTGAGGGCCTCAGACTCAATATGGAGGCCTACACCGGAGTGCATTGAGGAAGTAGTGCTACACTAGGTCAAGAGTGTGGCTCCTGGATGACCCTAGGGATAGAAATAGCACAAAACATGTTGTTTTTTTTTTAAATGTCAAACAAGAATACAAAAAAAACATCAAAAAATCATTTAACATAAGACAAAATTATTGGCCCTCTTGCAGTTTTTATTCGTGATTATTGATGTTAATTATTATTTTTTGGTTTGTTAGATTCATTCACTTTCCTCCATACATAACGAAAGTACATGTTGTTGACCGTAGTCTCTGAATATGGAATCCTGTGAAGTCCGTAATCTCTTCAATATCAGAAGTTGGCAGTGTAGATTCGGAGAGAGTAGCGGCTGTTAATTCTTTAAGTCTTCGATATCAGGTTGGCAGTGGAGATATTTTGGGAGAAAAAACAAAATGGCTGCCTTTATACATGTCGCATTGAATATTTTGAGCTTTCTGATTGGTTAATCCTTCTATTGGTGGACTATAAAATGAGTCAGCTCATTTTGGCTAACTCACTAGTACTTACAGGGTACCAAAACATTCCAACACGTGACCAGTTTTGTTTTATCTTACAATAAAACAGAGTTCCAATATTTACTCCCATGTTCTAGATGGCTTCTAGCATGAGCTAATCTGCATCTTAGGAGTTTAACCTTAAGGAAGGAAGTTTTCCTTGGGCGACAAGCTCGAAGTCCTGTTCGATGAAAGCATCTAGTAACTGTCGTTATCAATACATTCAACCCTGATGTCTTTTCATCATTGACAATGTCCTTTGTTGTTAAGTGAGGATTCTTCAAGATATCTCTATCAGTTTTTCTTTCCATTCTCTCAGATATTAACCGTTTTCTTCCAGTTTTTAATCTTTTCTCAACACAATGAGTCTCGTTGTACTTTCTTGACAATGCTACCAATTGCTGATCTAGAAATATTTAAACGTTTGAAAAGTTGTAT